ACACGGGATTTACCTTCCATGAATCCGTGCTGGCTGTGGTTTATAATCTTGTTCCGCTCCAGGTGCTCCACCACTCTCCTCCTGATAATCTTTTCCAAGACTTTGCATACTATACATGTCAGTGACACTGGTCTATAATTTAGTGCTTCATTTCTGTCTCCCTTCTTAAAGATGGGGACTACATTTGCCTTCTTCCATACTTCAGGTAGTTGCCCAGTTTCAAGGGAAGTGTTGAAGATTTTGGTTAGTGGCACACGTAGTGTCCCTGCTCCCTCTCTAAGGACCCACGGAGAGATGTTGTCCGGTCCCACCACCTTTGAGGTATCAAGGTCACTTAGGAGCTTCTCCAGCTCCTCCTCAGTTGTGTGTAATTCATCCAACACTTGTTGGTATATCCTTTGTTCCTGTATGCCACTGTTTTGTCTTCCTGTTGTCCCTTCAGCCTCCACTGTAAATACTTCCTGAAATCTCATGTTGAGCTCCTCACATACCTCCTGGTCGTTTCTTGTGAGCTCCCCACCTTCTTTCCTCAGCCTGATTACCTGGTCCTTGATTATTGTCTTCCTCCTGATGTAGCTGTAGAGTAGTTTCGGGTCAGACTTGACTTTCGATGCTATGTCATTTTCATACTGCCGCTGCGCCTCCCTTCTTATCTGTGTATACTCGTTTCTGGCTCGTCGACTAATCTCTTTATTCTCCTGAGTCTTTTGCCTTCTGTACTTTTTCCATTCTCTAGAGCACGTAGTTTTTGCCTCCCTGCACCTTCGGGTAAACAAAGGGCTCGTTCTGTCCTTCCCATTATTTCTGTTACCCTTGGGAACAAACCTTTTCGTGTGGGTGTGTGTGTGTGTATACTCACCTATTTGTACTCACCTATTTGTGGTTGCAGGGGTCGAGTGTGTGTGTACTCACCTATTTGTGGTTGCAGGGGTCGAGTCATAGCTCCTGGCCCCGCCTCTTCACTGATTGCTACTAGGTCCTCTCTCTCCCTGCTCCATGAGCTTTATCATACCTCGCCTTAAAACTATATGTGTGTGTGTGTGTGTGTGTGTGTGTGTGTGTGTGTGTGTGTGTGTGTGTGTGTGTGTGTGTGTGTGTGTGTGTGTGTGTGTGTGTGTGTGTGTGTGTGTGTGTGTGTGTGTGTGTGTGTGTGTATCTGACCGACTGTAACTCCTCGCTTCCGAGCCCTGACTTTTTATACTGTTGAAAGGTTTTAGAGAAATTTCACAATTTCTCTGGTTGCTGGTACTGGTGATCTTTCCCTGGTTGCTGGTACTGGTGATCTTTCTCTGCTTGCTGGTACTGGTGATCTTTCTCTGGTTGCTGGTACTGGTGATCTTTGTCTGCTTGCTGGTACTGGTGATCTTTGTCTGCTTGCTGGTCTAATAATAATAATAATAATAATAATAATAATAATAATAATAATAATAATAATAATAATAATAATAATAATAATAATAATAATAATAATAATAATAACAATTACTTTTAGCTTTTACACACTGGTGTATCAGTGTTACAGAAATCTTGGTAGTACAAACAGTCATCCATATATATTACTCACAATGTTAATTCTATTTATGTAGAAATGTAGTGTGTTAGGTGCCAGTGTCCTGACTGGTCTCTCATACACTCAGACATTGTCTTTGAAACCCACAGCATCAGCCGTCACTTAACCAAGTATTGAAAGCCATGAAGTATTTCTTATCAAATACAATAGTGACACTTTCTGTGCTATCAGACAAAAGTGGAGAGTATCAGTAGACTGAATTTTTGTTTTAAATTGTGTGGTACTTCATACAGCGAACTCATCTTTGGATCCTTCGTCTATATTCGGCCATGGTTTATAAAAGCTCGGCCTCTGCTACCTCTCTTTCTACGTTTGATATCGTCCATCATCTGGGTTTACTTTTGTGTCTGGGTGCGTTTCATTCGTCCACAGTTGAAAGCCTGTATGCACAGTCTTGATGAGTTAGACACATCGTCTTTACTTGGTAGACGTTTCTCCATCTATTGGCTTTACAATACAGTACATGGACTTAATCTGGAGACTAGAATTTCATATGAAAGACAGTAGAATACGAGGTAATCAGTCCCTCAGCCTTGGAGCAGGAGAAGAGCACCCCAGTTATAAAAAACATCATTGAATGCTGGTATATAGAACGTCACAATCTACTTGCTAACCGCTGGTCCAACTCTTGGACATAACCTACTTCCACTGGGAAATCCCACCTACCATTGACAATGTCTTCACATGCTGCATCTCATCTGACTCCAGCATATAAGCGCCATTTTTCCTGCCTGTGCTTCAGATTATTCAAGACTGCATTGATCATCACCTGCTCCAAGGCTGAGGGACTGATTACCTCGTCTTCTAGATAATTCTAGTCTCCAGATTAATCTATGTATTATACTGATAAAGCTACTGAATGGTGAAATGTCTACAAATAAAGACACCACTCTCAGTTTACCTAACTCGTGATATATCTCCGGCACAAAAAAAAAATAAAATCGAAGGATTATTGTACCCCTATATATTAGTGGTACTCTTTCTACCTCACATATGCATAACCTATTTCTCCACATTTCCTGAATAGCCAGGAAGATACTATCCAATGTTAGTTGTCCCTTGTTAGAGGCCATATGACATACCAACTAACTCCTACTCTCCATTTTATTCTCTACCCATACTTACATAATATCAGTTTTCGGCGGTTCGTTAATTTCCTTGGCTTTTAAAGTTCGTCATTGAAGAAGTGACACTAGTATTGTCCTCACATTGGCTCCGGAAGCTACCAGCGACTTCCAGAGTCAATAGACAAACTAGAGACTTCTGCCATGGAGTGGCTCATTATGTCTTATGCTGTGGCTCTCCTGCTAATACTGCCTCTTGGTGCCTCAGTCCTCCCCTCATGTAGGTCAGAAGCTGTCACTTCACGCCGCCACATCGATGGCTTTATCATTTGCCCAAGGTGATTTCTAAATTGTTGTTTTTATATCGTAATAGGTTTGTTCTTACTTGTGGTAAAGCCATGTCCACAAAACAACTGTACCCAGCATCTTCGAATGTGAAATGATAAAAGTAATGACTGGTGATAAGTAAAGGCTGGAAATTTCTAGTTTTATGATATCTATAAATTACTGCAGCTTTCGATACAACGGTTTATGGTCATAGAAATCACCTGGGGACAAAGTACAAAATAAAAGGAACCTAAATCAGAAACAGTTATTAATGCCTAATTTGGATGACTTAGGAACATCTGTATCTAAACAATGTAACAATTTAATTATAATAAAACTAAACACTTACCACAGTACCTCTGGCTGTCTGCTATGTGTCGCCCGTCAGTATTTACCAAGCATCCTGCAGCAGCTGGCGGCGTCGCTGTAGCATGTCTCCAGTTCAGTTACTGAACCTGATATTTTCCTTAAGTGCACCCCCGTCGATGAGGGGGCTCTTGATCCAAGGAATTGGATCTGCCCTCCCCTTCCTTGGATCAAACTTGAATGCCTCCCAGTTCTCATGGCGCCGTCTCCTACGGGTTTAGCACTCCCGATGAATATCACAATAATAATCCTCAGAGTAAAGTAGCTTAATTATGACTTAAAATGACATAGCCTTGTGAGATTTGATCATTTTAAAGGAAGAAAAAGGAATGAGTCTTCGTCCTTGACTTCCATCGGACGCAGTATTACTGAGAAGTGCGTGGTGAGAATTGTTGTACCTCACTGTAACACATCACCTCACCTGGTCAATCAGGGGATTAACTTCTGGGTTACACTGACCATTGCAAAGACCTCTGGACATTCATCTTCCCCATACTAGACACACCCAGCATGGGCAGGAGGATTTCGAGATTGTAGACAGGATCCTTCAGTTTCCCTGAATCTAATATTTGCAAAATGCTTGTTCTGCCGGCTTGTAAAGGGCTTTAGTGTTTCTGTTCTTATAACAATAAAAAAAAACTTACATCAAAGAAAATGGTTAGTGTAACTTCCATTTTTATTTTTGTAATAAAAACTTTACATTTCCTTAACTTTAATAATGTTACGTTTAACTTGCGCAAATCTTCAAGAGGAATGTATTATTAAAATAATCCAGGAATAAACTTAACCAATAGGGGTTATATAGTACATGAGCAAAGGGAGATAATAAGGTTAGATAAGAGAAGAAGGATAGGTCTAACCATTTTAATCAAGAGCCTCTCGCCAGCATCAAGGCAGCCCTCTAAAAGGGTACAAGTGGTATATATAATCAAGACAGACTGCTCTTGAAGCAAACATTAAATTAAAGAGTTCTCCATGTACTCTGTGCAATGTTATCCTTCTACATCAAGCATGTAGCTCTCAGACATCTGTTTCTCATATACAAGTATACTTACTCTCAGTAGAACCTCAAAGGTAGTAAGTATTCTGTCTCAGTCAGGTTCAGGCTTATTTAGTGGCGGAATTGTTACGAGTATGTAAATACAGTGAGAGGTGTGTACCTCTTGGTGTATATACACTGAGAGGTTACTTTAATCCTCTTTATAAGGGGTTAAAGTGCACTTGAGAGGTTGTGAATAAGTTACGTATAGCTACAATGACCCTCGCTTAGTAGTTGATAGGCTTTAAATCCCATCAACCAACCAGCATGCGGCCTTAATTATCTTCGAGTATTTGATAGACTTTAAATCTCTTTACTCAAGCATTCATCCTTAATGGCCGTTGATTGGCTTTAAGCCTCATAAAGTAACCAACACTAAGCTTTAATGACCTTTGCGTAGTTAATAGGCTTTAAATCCCGTTAACCAAACTAATCAACCTCCCGGGACTCTAACAATCCAGTTTAGATGTTTAACGTCGACATGCAAAAAGTTTGTCTTAAAATACAACATGACTGTCATAATGTGCTACCTAAATAAATTGTAGTTTAGAAAACAAAAGCAATGGATAAATTTTAACAAGTGAATATGAGACCGGGAAATTTTAAATATGTTGATATAATGAAGTCGATGGTTTATCAGTAACAGCAGCCATGGTGATCCCGGGCGGCCGTAATCAAGTTATATTTACGAAGGTGGGTATCTCTGTGCATTATTTAGCCTTAATTTTTTTAAAGGGGTGGAGCAATAAGCCAGCGGAAGGCCTCGGTCAGTTGACCAATAGCTCTAGTGGAGGGTCAAGATAAGATAAGGGTCATCATGTGAGACCCGCGTCAGGAAACAACTCAGCTTCCTGGCGAAACTGACCTGACCTAATATCTGTGTACCACATATACCCCTCAAGGAAGGTTCCTTGATGCTGGTGAGGGGCTCTTGATCTAGGGAACTGGATCTGTGCTCCAGTTCCCTGAATTAACCCTGAATATCTTCCATCCCCCACAGGCGCTGTATAATCCTACGGGTTTAGCGCTTCCCCCTTCATTATAATAATAATGTGTACCACATATGATGAAGGTGGGGAGATACACCTGCAGGTTAGTATCTGTATATTAGATACAGTGAATACCAGAGCTGAGTTACCCTTACTGGTTTAGTACTTAGTTATGATTGCAATAATATACAATGACGATATACCACTGTAGGTGTGTATGTTTTATTATGTACCATGATGAATATTATGTACCATGATGGATATTATGTACCATGATGGATATTATGTACCATGATGAATATTATGTACCATGATGGATATTATGTACCATGATGGATATTATGTACCATGATGATATTATGTACCATGATGGATATTATGTACCATGATGGATATTATGTACCATGATGGATATTATGTACCATGGTGGATATTATGTACCATGATGGATATTATGTACCATGATGGATATTATGTACCATGATGGATATTATGTACCATGATGGATATTATGTACCATGATGGATATTATGTACCATGGTGGATATTCACACCGGCAGATGTAAGAACGTAATGATATTCGTTCTGTGTGGAGTATATACACCGGCAGGTGTATATATCATATGACCCGGGAATTTACCAGAACTCCTGTATTAGGTATTAAGGTATTCTCTAGTGGTAATGACCGTGCAGTTAATAGGCTCAACAAGGCAATAATTGCACATGTGTTTATTTCTTCAACTTGTCGGTGTTATATGCCACTGATGTTAAGTCGAACTCTCACGAATTCGTGTACTTAGTCTAAGCTGTTTGTTAAAGCTAGTCAAGGTTATCGCTCCAGTGACACTACTCGGGAGGGCTTTCTTATATCCTTTCCATATTTAAATATTTAAAACGAACCCGTTGCTGCGAGTCCTGTCTTTGTTAGATTTATTTTTTTTATTAAAAAACTTTTCGTTCCTGGGACCTTGATTAAGGTCCCAGGACCGAAACGTTTTTCTAATGTTCTAGATATTTTCAGCAGGTTATTTATATCTCCTTTTAATTATTCTTGTCTTCTGTTTGTACATTAAATGTCCAAAACTTGTTGCTATGTAGGTAATATTTTTTTTTTTTTTCACATTTATTCAGGAAGAATTTCTGCATATTCAACGTCAGTCTTAGTTTGCCCAAGTATTTTGGTAAACCCGACTTTTGTTAAATGTAGTCACGAGCTTTTGTAGCTTTTGGCTCTTCAAGGAGGTTGTATTGATGCAAGTGAAGGGTTCTTGATCCAAGGAATTTGGACTTGTCCCATGGGGAATGGGATGCATGTTTTTACCACTAAGCAGTAAGTTAAAGCCAGTCATTACTATAATTAAATAAAACATTTTATTTGTATAGTTGAACATAATTTTATATTCATTACTCTTTTAAAGTTTATCATTAAAACCAGTGTTATTTAATCATTTGTTGTTTATCTAGCCTTTGGGTAGGCATTTACTTACATATTTTTTATGTTTGTGTAGAGTGGAAGGTGTCTCACCAGGATGGACTGGTAACCATGGAGAAGCTAAGACTACAAGAGTCACCCACTGTTTTTTAGGTAAGGCTTATTAATTTTTATACGTTTATAGTAATTTTATTAACGGTTCTTTAAGTTGTACATCTTATATTTGGAGTTGTCTGACACACTGGACACCAGTAGAAAACTTGAAATATTATGATATATTTCGAGAGATAAGATTATTTTAGCTTCGAAGGTAATATTTTTATTAATAATTTTTATTTTTATGTTTATTATCGCAGAAATTTCCACTGTTAGTTATTTGTTTAGACTTAACTATGCCGTAAATATAATGCCTCGTAAGATATTTGGGCTGTAATTGAAGGCTGCTCTTCGGTGGAACTCGGAAATTATTTTATATTTCACAATATGTACAAAGTATCTTCGCTAGGAAATAAATAGCTATTTCTTGTGCAAATTATTACAGGAGATATTATAAAAAATATTATCTTTAAATAGATGGAATGCTGCGTCGAGGCCTCTGTCCATTGTAAACAAAGACGACATTTCTGTTTTTGCCGTAAACCGATGTTAGTTAAATAGTGATGAATGCTACACTATAAGATCTAAAATATTTTTATGAAGGTCTGCGAGAGCAATTCACGGGAGGTTCCTTGATGCTAGTGAGGGCTTCTTGATCCATGGAATTGGAACTGTCTTATTAAATCGAACCTGATTGCCTCTTTTTCCTAGGCACGGTTATGACCCTATTGGGCAGTGCCTTGTTGCTGCTGAATGGCACCTGATCCGAGGAATTGCGCTAACGTTCCTTTCCTCGAAATGAACCTGATTACATCCTGTTCCCCTATGACACCAACGGTTTTAGCGCTTTCCTCTGAATGTGAGAAATGGGTGAAAGTCGCGGTCTTAGGTGGCAGTAGACATTTTCAGGTGGATGTGATCAGATGGGGAGTAGACGTTCAGGTGGGAATAGATGCGTTCAAGCGGAAGTAGATGTATTCAGGTTGTGAGCTTAGACAAGATCTGCCTAAGTGGGAATAATAAATTCAGATGGAATAGATGCGTTCAGGTGGAAGTGAGTAGATTTCTTCAGGTGGGAGTAGATACATTCAAGTGGGAATTGATGTGTTGAGGTATACCTGGAGAGGGTTTCGGGAGTCAACGCCCCCGCGGCTCGGTCTGACACCAGGCCTCGTGGTGGATGAAGATCTGATCAACCAGGCTGTTACTGCTGGCAGCACGCAAACTGACGTACGAACCACAGCTCCGCTGGTCCGGTAATGACTAGGTGCCTGTCCAGCACCTTCTTGAAGACAGCCAGGGGTCTATTGGTAATCTCCCCTTATGTATGCTGGGAGGCAGTTGAACAGTTTTGGGCCACTAACACTCATTGTGTTGTCTCAGTGTACTCGTAGCGCCCCTGCTTTTCATTGAGGGGATGTTGCATCTCCTGCCGAGTCTTTTGCATTCATAGGGAGTGATTTTCGTGTGCAAGTTTGGTACCAATCTCTCTAGGATTTTCCAAGTATCTTTCTCGCCTGCGTTCCAGGGAATACAAATCAACTGTTCCCAGTAATTTAGGTGCTTTATCGTACTTATGTGTGCCATGAAAGTTCTTTGTACACTACATCAGCAGTTTCGCCTGCCTTAAAGGGGGCAGTTAGTGTACAGCAGTATTCCAGCCTAGAGAGAACAAGCTATTTGAAGAGAATCATCGTGGGCCTGGATTTCTTAGTTTTGAAGGTTCTCACTATCCAATCCCATCATTTTTCTAGCAGATGTAGTAGCTACATTGTTAGTAAGTAAGTTTATTCAGGTATACACAAATACAGTTACACAGATTATCATACACAGCAGCATATGTGTAGAGAACCTAGGATAACCCAAAAAGTCAGACAGAGTGTATTTCCATTGGGGTCCTTTGCTTATTTCTATTGGGGTCCTTTACTTATTTCCATTGGGGTCTTTTGTGGCTTTTGAAGGTGAGATCCTCTGACATTATCACTCCCAGGTCCTTCACATTACCTTTTCGCTTTATTGTATGGTTAGAATTTATTGTATACCCTGATACGGTTTTAATTTTCTAAGGTTTTCCATATATGAGTAGTTGAAATTTCTCTTCTTTGAACTTCATATTGTTTTGAGTGGCCCATTTGAAGATTTGGTTGATGTTCGCTTGGAGTCTTGCGGTGTCTTTGATGGAGGTCACTGTCATGGCAATTCGGGTGTCATCCGCAAAGGAAGACACGGAGCTATGGCTTACATCTCTGTCTATGTCAGATATGAGGATGAGGAATAGGATGGGAGCGAGTACTGTGCCTTGTGGAACAGAGCTTTTCACCTTAGGTGCCTCATACTACTCTTTACTATTACTCTTTCTGCCCGAAATGCCTCGGCTTGATAGTGGCTTTCTTTGCACTTAGCAAATCAGTATTGTAATTACACATTGTAAACTATGCATGGAAATAGTCTCCTCATAACATGTCAGCCACGCATTGTAAACTATGCAAAGAAATAAAAATTTGAATTTGAATTTGAATTCTATTTGTTAGGAAGTTATAGATCCATCTACCAAATTTTCCTGCTATTCCTTTATCACGCATTTTGCATGTGATAAAGGTGGGAGTAGATCTGCTTAGGTGGGAATATATGCTCAAGTGGGAGTAAATATATTCAGGTGGGAGTAGACGTGTTCAGAAAAGGGAGTGGGCGAGTTTAGAAGTGGTTGTCGTCGTGTTCAGAAGTGGTATTGGACGTGTTCAGAATTGGTATTGGATATGTTCAGAAGTGGTACTGGACATGTGTTCAGAAGCGGTATTGGACTTGTTTAGAAGTAGTATTGTACGTCCTCAGAAGTGATATTGGATATCTTCAGAAGTGGTATTGGATATCTTCAGAAGTGATATTGGACGTGGTATTGGACTTGTTCAGAAGTGGTATTGGATATCTTCAGAAGTGGTATTGGACGTTTTCAGAAGTGGTATTGGACGTGTTCAAAAGTGGTTGTGGACGTGTTCAGAAGTGCTTGTGGACATGTTCAGAAGTGTTGACGACGTGTTCGGCGGTGGTTGTGGACGTGTTCCGAAGTGTAGTGGATGTGTTCAGAAGTGGAAGAGGCTGAGGAAGCAGTGAAGAAGTGAGGTCCTGGCAGATGGTTCCTTGTAGTGGATCTGAGAAAAGTTGATGTTGTTGGAAGATGTAATAAATTATCTCCCCTTCATCTAGGGCATCTTTACTGCGCTACCAGTAAGTAGACCACAGTCACTAGTACTGTGGAACAGTAATGATGTGACCAGTGTTGTGGTGTGAAACAGTGATAGTGTGGCCAGTGTAGTGCTGTGGAATAGTGAGATGCTCTTACTAGTATGTCACGCGGAATAGTACAGTAACCAGATTGCAGTGAAATAATATTAAGTAGGTAGATACAGTGATTACTGAGCATTATGTAAAGGAGAGTGTGAAGTACATTTGTTGTTGATGTGTTTGCTCGTTTATTAATTACTTAATGTTCGTATGTGACTACCTCGTAAATTTAGTGGTCAAAAGTGAAACTTCGTATATGTTCTTGCATTTGTTATGTTACTGTTAATAATTCTCTCACCGTTTTGGATGTGTGTTTGTTCGAACCTTCCATCCTCTCACTCTCACTGCCTTGCATAACATTTAGTATCAGGAGTGCAGATGAGGACGGTGACAGAAAGATGGCCGAACGACAGAATCCCGTGCAGAAGGTATCTATATCATATTTTCCAGTATTACTTCAAATTGGCAGATAAGCAGTAGAAGTATGAGATATGATTGTGTTTTTAATAGCAGTGGAAAAGCAACAGTTAGAACAGATGGACGAAGGGCCACGGAAGTTACTCCACCAACTGCAGGAGTTATATCCGCATCAGGAACAAGTGGGTCAGAGCATACGTCAATTGAACCAGCCTCAACGTCAGGTAATTCTGAAAGCACCACGGTTGAAACAAATGTAAGGCTAGGTGAAGTAGATGTCACAGGAGTTGCTAGGTGTACTATTCAAGATAGGAGACAGAACTATAACCAGGGACCTAACTAGACTACTTGAGGTCAGGCACCAGCGGACGAGGCACCTGAATCATAGTGCACCAGCAGCTCCCTCAGCGGTGGGGATAACACGTGATGCCGGGAAGGCTTGGGTGGTGCAGATCAAGCTGCTGGAGATTTACAGCTGACCAGGAGTCTGAAGGAGCCACAACTAAATTATTATTACAGTATTATAATTACGGGGAAGCGCTAATCCTTTTGGAGTCATACAGCACTTAAGAATGAAATTATTATTATTATAATCAAAAAGAAGCGCTAAGCCACAAGGGCTATATCTTAAGAATGAAAGGCAATCACGTTTGACCTAAAGGAAAATGTCTCGACTTCCTAAGATCAAGAGCTTCCTTCTAGGGAGCCACAACCAGAGATACCGAAAGATGTGCCCAAGAAGAATCTGAACGATTTCTCAGCTTTGTTGAACGTTCAACAGTAACAATATGGTGCTGCCACGTGAAGTTCAGCTTGGCGGAGACGACCTGGTCCGGTAAGACTAGTTTCAGTGAATGTAAGACTGATGTTTAATTCCTGGTAGATAAGGTTGCTGTAGAGGAAAATAAAACTCATCGTGTGGTTAGATGTCAACGAAGAGCGATGAGAGTCCTTGACGTGTGCCGGACATCCGGCAGAACCAAGAAGGGTAAATCAGTGTAGTAATTAACAGAAGAGTAAATTACATCTCAGCAGTGAATGACAACAGACTAGAGGACCAGACTGGGTCTGAAGAGGCGATCTAGCTACAGAGCGCCTATCAGCGGGAAGGTGAGGCTTCAGCAGGTCGGAAAAAAAAGGCTGGAGCAAACTCATCTCAAAACAGCAAATATATCCAGATCAACACCAGTCGCCTGTGTAAGACTACAATTAGCACTAGGAACTTACAGGAAGCTGCAGACAGTGATAAGTGTCGCCTTGGCAGCCAAAGCAACACTTATGAGAATGACAAGCGGAAGCAAGTTCCCCATTATAGTATCAGGCTACCTCTCAAGATATCAGTATCGAGGTAGACAGTA